TATTTAATATTATCAATAATATTCCCATTATTTAAATTTTAAACCAAACACTTTGTAAAAGAAAATCGTAAGAATTTTATTTTCGTAATTTATTTTTAGCTGATATTATATATTGTATAATAGAAACAAGCTACAAATATCTAAATTATGAATTTTTTTTAATTATCTGAAAAATTGTGTTTTTTTATAAAGTGAGTATATTTATAAAGTGCAATGTTTAGTTTCCGAGAAATAACAAAGTATCTCTTTAGAACATGTTTAGTATCGGCAATTCTCATCTATAAAATAATAAAAAAAATAATTAACGGAATAATTATTTTCTTACATAATTAATTTTTATTAGATTTATGAAATATATTTGCCTTTTAGTACATAGTCCTAATGCATTTCTTATTATCTATAATAACAGAAGACAATCTTCTTAAAGTAAATAAAAAAATATTATAAATTCAATTTTCTTTTACGAATATTTTGTATTCTCTTCTGCCTTATATTGAAATAAAATACTACGGTAAACTATTTACCTTAGATTAAATATTTTTTTGCACCTTGTGAACTATTCAAGACATTTTTTAATTAAAGTTGAGCAACAATTATGGGCAATATTAAACAATTATCATTTCAAAATTCGTGACAGCGTTTTTTTTAAATAACTTAGAATGATCTCTTGCTTTATTCATCGATGGTTTTCGTTCAGGTTTAGTTATCACATTAGTGGAAGGACGTGACCAGGTAAAAACTCAAATCTCGTTAGCACGTATTCCCTCTTTCTTGTTTTATTATTCCATCTTCCGTTCTGCCCTTTAATCTCCAAATGCGTGCGATAGTTTTTAGGAACTCTTTCATCCTGTCATCTTTCGCATTAACGATAGGCCATTCTTGATTCCTCGTAAATTAAAAATGTATATTCCTTTATTCATGGATTGTATTTCGTGATTCTCAGCAATTTGATCTCTACTGTATTAAATCGCAAGAGGACGAGAGATATAATTGTGCGTATAAGGATAACAACTATCGTATGATTATCATAATGTGTATACGTGTGAACATTCTATACTTTTCATATAAAGAATTGCAATTATTTCACGATAGCCTGACAAATAAACACGGATTTTCTTACGTATAGCATTTGTAAGATAATAACACTGTAATATTATATTATAACAATGTATATTATAATATTAATTGCATTAATTAATCGAAGTGGAAGAAAAATTATTGATAAAATAGCATTATATTTAAATTCCTTATAAAAAGTAAAATTCCTTATAAAAAGTAAACTAATTTTTGCAGGATTGTCATACATTAAATATCTTATTTTAAAAGCTTTAATTTAACTTCATATTTAAAGAAAAAAATATGAAAGTAAGAAGACAGTCGCATCACATTAAAACTTTTATTCTTTAATCTGTATTCACATCTCATTCAATAAATGCGCGCATTTAGCATATAGTTTACGTTATAAATAATATAGATGATACTACAGAATCTCAGATAAATATCGCAATTATCAATAAAAATAAGATATCAATTTTTTTTTTTTAATTTAATACTAGCCACTACTAAAAAACAGTAATTAATTATGTATTTTATTACAAAAAACACTATTATTTAATATTTTTACTATTCCAAATAAATAATTAACTTTTATTAATAAATTGGCCAATATTAAATTAATCAATATTAGATTTTTGTAAAAGAATATAAATTTATATCTTTGTATTTTAATAACATTCTCATTTTGAAATCTGCATATTATATTTTATTATAAATTATTATTTATTCTAAAATCAGTTTAGTTTGTCACGGATTATTTGTTCGTATAAATTTTAATGAAAATGACAAAAGAGTCAAATAATATGTCTTTATCAATACACATCAATACATTTTATTCACATTTTATTATAAGATAATCTAATTTTACTGTAGGGTAGTAAAATTTCAAGGGCTAATGTTCAACGGTTCTTACCAGTTTACGCCCACGTGTTTTTAGTAGTCATAAGTAGACAATGATCCCACATCCATTTAAAAAAGAAAGACCGAAAATCAACTGAAGGACCTCGCACCGAAACTCATGTGGGAGTATCTCTTTCCGAAGCGCATAGGGAGTCTCGTATTACGTGTTCCTTTGTATGCGTATGTAAATCTATCGGCAATGGCGTAGAGATGAATGGCGAAAAGAAAGAAAGTAGAAAGAAAGCTCGCATTTGACGCTCGTAAATCGCTGCAACTTTCGTTTTTATTCATATGTTCGAGTAATTCATATATTTATGAGTAAAAATATCTGTTCAAAGAATATGTATGTACATTTTTCTGCATACTATTTTTCATTTTATTTCTTGTAATTTTTTAGCAATTCTTTGCTTCTAATTTCTCGCAATTCATATAGTTTCATATTCACCTAGGGCTTAGGAAATACATTTTAGTGCTAAATTCATTTACATGAAAATAAAATCGTGAAAATAAAATCGTGATGAGTGTTACTTTATGGCGAAACACGAAGGGAAATAATGCGGTGTTTTTGCAGCCTTTAGTGACGTTTACGAGCACGTTAAAAAATTCTATAAATATGTTAATGAATGTCGCAGTTAAGCCAAAATAAAGCACATTTCTTACCAGGCAATTGCAGACATATCAAAAACATAAACGTGATATATACATATATATATATTTTTACAGATAATGGCACTTACAAATATAATTATGCATTGGGTAACGACATTTTTATTATCAGATACAGCTTCGACGCCATTGCATGAAAACATATATGTATATGTATGTCATATATGTACATATATTCTGTATGTGCGTCGAAACGCAAATGCAGTATCCACCCATATCCTCCTTTGAAAATTTCGTAGTCATATATCGTAACAAATGATTCTTTATTGGTCAGACCTCTTTCTCGTGCAAATTTATAACCGTTTTTTTATTCATCACTTTTCTTCGCCTTTCTCAATTGAAACGACCGCTCTTCTCAGTACTTCATATTTTATTATGGTTAAATGATAGGTTTCCTGTATATTAAAAGACACACACAACAAGGCCTTTAAAATTTGCAGCGCTTTCATAGAAATGCATATATAAAATGCATGAAAGTATTCAGTCATATCACTGTAACGTAAACTGTCATAATTGCGTTTGTTTATTAAATATCCTTTTTTTTTTAGCAAACGCTAAATATAGATAATAAAAAGAATAAAAATTTATTTACAGTTTATTTATAATTTTTAATTTTAACTTTTTAATATTGTGTGCATTAAAAGAAAAAAATGGCTGCAATTAATATAATTTAACTATAATTTATAGTCATTTTCGATGCCAAGAATGTATTTTCTTTGATAGAACTAAATTTCTCTCAGTTTTGAAAGAAATAAAGGTAAACAAATGATATACAGACAATAAAATCAATTTTATTAAGTAAGATAATCAATTTTACTAAGAAGCACAAACTAGGTTTTTATCAAGAGGTTTTAACGAAGAAAGATTTTATTCGTATGTTGCCAAAGTACACAAGTAGGAGAATTTTCTTTGTCGTAACAAGTGCTTATTCAGCTGAACATATATAGACCGCAAAAAATGGATATTAGTACCGCAAAGTCGCTATAACGTCATATTATCACATTTTTAATTTATTATTTCAAACACCTTTACAAAACCATAATAAAAAATTAACTGTATTTATTCCGTCAGTTTGCGCAACGTGATAATCATGTGACTTTACGCATCGCATAACTCACGATTTTACTGTTGCACTTTACGATCGTTTTGCGTTCTCCGACAGATAACGATATTTCGAGAAGCGTGCAAAAGTGCTTATCAAATATATTTCGTCGTTATTGATCTTCTTAACACGACACTGAATGAGAAAAACATATCTTTCTGATAATGCATCAAATTCTAATGAATAAAAATCCAATAGTATTTTGCTTTTTGTTTTCATAATTTCTCTTACTATTTATTTTGTTGAACTACAAAAGCTTGAAAGTAGCTTTATTTTTTTCTAATTAGTTTACCAATTAGCTTAATTTATGCAAAATTTTAATTCTTCGTTGCATAGTATGCCTATAGAAGGCATATCTTTCTCGCTGCAATTTTTACATATTTGATAATTTATATTACGTATTTAGTATCGTTATATAAAATTTGTGTGTACGTGAATAGCAAAAAATATGTAATTATTTTGCGGTAAATATTAAGTTAGAAATAAAAAATCAATCAAAGCGCTTTTATTATAAAAAATTCATGCTGAGATAAAATTGATAAATGAGGAGCAGACTTCCAAAATACATTTTGTCCAAAATTTTCTTTTTTTTAGTTAAAGAAGTACAGTTCAATGTTGAAAGATTCATATTTTAAACTATTCTATGATGTTCTGAAAGCATTTCTATATCATCAATTTATGTGCTGAAAAGAATCTTGACATTCGAAGTGAATTACATCCTTTAACTAGAGACAAACAAAATGTTTAATATTTTTAACAACTGTTTAGTAATTATGTTGAACGTTTCACATTTTACTGATTGCAAATTATTATTTTCTGTAAGGCGCGCAGTTTTCCTATGGCTTTCTTTCTCGTTTTCTAAAAATTATAAATTTTGGCATTTTGAAAGTCTGTTTCTTAAATATACCTTCAAAATCTCTACCTATCAATGTTCACTGCATAGTTGACAAATTTTCATAAAGCAGATTTGACAGATTCAAAATGGCGGTCAAAATAATCATCAAGACATATCATCAAGACATACTATCAAGATATATTAAATTCTGATATTAATGAAATATAAATTCTTAATATTCTTAACTTTTTTATATACTTTTTTATATACTTAATATCCTCAATATACTTTATAATTTTTTAATATTTTTACGTATAAAATTTTACACGTAAATAAGCCATAGTTAATTCTTTTCAATTTAACTGCCATATTAAGTATATATCATTTTGATTTTTTAAATTTTGACTTAAGATTTGTAATCAGCAACTTCAAAAACTCCTATATACTGAAATTCAGCCAAATACAATAGAAAAATAGAAAAATTTGTACAACAAACGGTTAAGCAAAACAAATTATATACCGTAATATAGAACATAAAAATAAAAACATATTGTTTTATTTACAAGGGGAATATTCAGGTTGAGCATCTGGAGTATTTTCGAGCTTTAATTTCCAGCAAATTCTCTCCATAGCATTAGATGTTGAATTGTAAAAAGTCGCATTATGCTGAAGATATTTCCCATCATTTATATCTATAGTAATATTCGTGTACGGTTTTCCGTTTAATGTACAACCAGATTCGGTTTTCTTTATCATACTAACACCATTTATAGAATTAATTATGATGTTGCTGCCACTTGTTATTTCTTGTCCATCTGCACAAAAAATTTCCGTTGCGTTTTATTTTTTCTTTTCATTTGTTTTACGTTGATTATATAATTAGCGCATGATCAATTATCAATCAATATATAATTGTTGGAAAATAAATTTAAATTTATTTGGGGAAAAGAGAAACTATTTTAAACAAATTGTAATTTAGTTAATTATCAGTAGTAGTGTGATATTACAGTAGAATTTTGTTTGAGCCAGCAGTACAGCTTTATGACACCCTATATGATACCGGACTAATTGCTTTTAAATTACAATGTCATCAATTGTCGGACCGATCGATTTCAAGCGGGTATTATGGCGATTAAATTTTTATCGATACTAATCGCTAATGATAACGCTATTTGATTCGATACTTTCATATCTACGTACTAATTGCATAATTGATAAATGTTGTGCGAAATTAAACGTCAGTAATGAATTATCGGATCGAATGAATGGGAAAAGAATACTAGCCGCCTTGAGACTTAATATAGAGAATAAGTGTCTGCTCTGTATCATGGCCAATTGTGAAAGGAACGTCGACTACGCAGCGAATGAGATGCAATTTTGGAATCTCCGTTTTTTTATCTTTCGTAACGATAAAGAATATCACTAAGCGCGAACTATTATGCAAACGCGAGATTTCTCTCTTCCGCACGAGTACGAGAAATTTAAGAAATTATATTTTTATATATTATATTTAGATATCGATGCTCCGAGATTTTCTGAACTCGAAATGAGAGAAAATAACTGCATTCGAATCACAAATATTGATTCAGATGCTTGAAAAAAATATTGGATAAAATTATATTGAATGATGTTAAATTGATATTAAATTAAGCTAAAAAATATCAATGGTAAAATATAAGATATAAAATGAAAAATTCATCTATCTAATTTTGTGACGCACTTATATGCATAAACGCAGTATATGCGTAAACATATTGTTATGATTTCTATTATATCCTTTGGATTTAGTTGCATAAAAAAAAATATATAAATAATGCAAAGATTTAGGTGTTTATTTAAAAAAATTTTTTTAAATAAAACTTTTTTTGATTATTTATTTAAATTAAATAATTGAATTATGCTATTAAGTGTATGACTGTTCAGTTTCTATTACATATTGATGTAGTTCTTAAATCAAATAAACATTAGTAGATATTGTAAAATATTCTGTGATGAATTACCTCTTGATAGATTCTTGAATGTTTCGCCGACGTGCGCAAGTGTTTGTTGCACCGAATTCTCTATTCGCTGACTCAAATTATCTACTTGCTTATTCAAATTCTCTCTATTCGTATCCAAAATCCGCAAATTCGCATCCAAATTTTTTAACATACGATTCACTTCTGTATTGATGTTGCTGGTAAGATCAGTCTCCCAATTAGGGGCAGCCATTCCCAGATGAGCACTGTAAAATAAAAAAATTGTATCAGGAACTGTCGGGAACCAATGATAAATTATACTCTTTGTTTATTTATCTAGACACGTATTCGCAATTATGGAAAACTATAGTTCATGCATTTAAAAAATGCAATGATTCATACGCGCTGACCATGAATAAATACATACATAATTAAATTCTGTTATCATTTGCGCAGACTAAACATTCGGCGCATTCAGGAAATAGTTTGTCAATTCATAATTATGATTTAAAACTGAATTCAAACCAAATAAATAAATAATAATTCATTTCAATGAACGTGTATCTCAGGTATATAAGTTATCCGTTCGTATTTACTCGCCCTTGTTTGATCAGTCTGGATTCTGCTTAATTTATGAAACCTCTGATAGAAATCAGTCTCGATTGCACAACCGGCTGTGTTCCGAAATTCACTGTCAGTGTTGAAAATTTGTAGTGCATGTAACGTAAGTAAATTTGGAACACAACCTTTTTGCTGAATGACTAGAAAAAATTGACTATCTTCATCGAAAAGAACTAACCTGGTCAACAATGAAATAATCAATATGACGTGACAGACTTTCCTGACCATTTTCGTCCAAATACTCTGGATCTCCACGAGTTGATAGATAAATTAAATGGGAAAGTGGAGCCTTTCCTTCGTGTAAGTGCGTATAACAAATCCGGTTAGATCACGTCGTACACAAGCAGATATTTTATTTCGCGTGCACCGGCGATCGGCAATATTGCACCTAGCGTCGCTAACGTTCTGTCGCGCCACATCGTTTCTCTGCTCTTATATACACAGACATTCCCGGGTTATCGAAGCTGTGACTATACATACGTTACCATATACGTGTTCATACATCGCATTATACTCGACGAGCGAAGAAACGCGAAGTTGGAGAAAGAGAATCCTTGCGGAATTGTTGGATAATGTCATAAATGAGATGTTGCTGATAGTAGAGAATGGGAGAGAAATCATAAAAAATAAAAGGAAATCATTAGAACAATATCAATAGCTATACGAATAAAAAGTTCTGATTTAATAATTATTAAAAAATTAATATTATATGTTAATCCTTTATTATTCTAGTGAGATGTTTAGGCTGTTTATAAATTCGCTAGAACTATAAAAGTTTCCGATTCATATGTAACTTTATGATGATGATTTTCACGCAAGTAATTATTGTACATAAAAAAAACTACGCAAGTAATGTAGAGTTAATACGAAATACAATGTATTACATACGATGTGTAGTTTTTTATATAGATGTATTAATATTTACTTTTTAAATATGAAATATTTTATAATATATTTTGAATATTAATATTACATTGTATGTAATAAGTGTTACTATTTTTAAGGGACATCGTTCTTCCATTAGAGAGCACAACAATGACATTTATTTTTTTTTTAGAGTTCTTTAATCGTCTTCCGCATCGATCATCTTTCCGATCAGACACGGACGCTAAAAGGATAACGCAAGGTGTCGAGTCGAGATAAATCATGTGTATCAAATTTCTCCCAAATTTTGCGGCCCTCGGCGATCGTAGCGCGGAAGACCGAGATGCGTCGGTGAGATTTATCGCGATGCCTTTTTGGACCACTGTAATTTTGCAAGCTGATCGCCAGCGTAACCGTTTGATATATCGAGCTCTCGTTACACTTCTCGCCACAAGAAGAATAACTTTTCCTCGATGGCAGCCAATAAATCATACGCGAGCACGTATCTCATGCGTATTGCAGGATTACGTGGCCGTCCGACATATCAATATAAGCTTGAATTAAAGATTTAAAGCGATATAAAATAATATATGTGATGTAAGATAAACCTAATGCAAATTAAAATCTTTAAGAATTAATTAATTAAAGAAATTTTAAATATTCTTTATCAAATAACGATTTCACTTTTCTATATTTTTTTGAAACAAAAATAATTTTTTTTTAATTAAACGTTTAACAATTTTATTTTTACTGAAGTAATTAAATAATAAAAAAAATATATATATATATACTTAAAGTTTTAAAAAAATTGAATAATTAATGTGTAATAATTAAAATTTGCCATTAATGATGTGGTAGCCAAAAGTTTCTAGCTGATAATTAATTTATTATCTTGCTCACAAGGAGAAAACATAACGGATTTTGATTTCCTTTAACATAGTAAATAAAAATTATAAAATTTTATATCGGAACTTACATATTTATTGTTCGAAAACTTTTGATAAATAATCACTGGTGGCACAAAAAGAAGTCTGCTGGAGCATGGTCGGAGAAATAGGAAGAGTGATTCAAAACGGTAACGCAACGCTGATTCAAGAATTATATGTTTTCAATCAGAACTTCAAGTAGGATACAAAATCATAACGATATCATTGAAGGACGTTATCATGACACATTTAAAAATGTACTTAAAAATAAATTTATAACAAATAAGATCATAACGATGCTCTTATGATTTTATTATGATTTCTATGTTATTATGATTTCTATATTCTATTTCTTGAGACTGCGTGACAAGACTTTAGACGATATCCAAAGATTTTTCACATCAGAGTTTTCGTAAGCTGAACGTCGTCAGAAGTATATTGTCTCTATATTGGGTGATTTACACGAGGTGACTTTATTCGCTTAAAGTAGGTTGTGACGTTTTTCAGATATAGAGACGATTTAGATATCTAATGACGTTATTCAGATTTAGAGAGAGAGAGAGAGAGAGAGAGAGAGAGAGGAATCCAGCATCTAGAAAAAGTTTCTTTAAATCTGAATCAATGGATAATCATTGCCAAGTATGCCACTGGTAATCAGTGAATGAAATATGAGATAACTAACGTAGCTGATCTTTATTACGTGCTCTAATTAACCTTGTTTTAGTGCATAAATTCAGTGAGTATGATATTGGAAAATTGGAATTAACATGCAAATATCAGTATTTTAATTATATAATATTCAAATATTCTTCCTTTTTTAGTTAAACTTCACTAATTACCATTTCCCAGTATGCCACTGAGTAATTAATGACTATCCATTGATTCAGATTTGAAAATTTGTTGATGAAAAAATTCGTTAGCGACAACATATCTAATTGTGACAAATACTGCTTTCGACGCTTGTCGCTAGTTTGTCGCTAGCTTCTTGCGTTTCTTATCACTGGCGATAAACGCTTCGATTTTTATTTTTCCAGATCGAATTTTTAAGTCATAAAGCGATTTCAAAATTTTAGATGCTAGCAAATAGAAAACAAGAGTATAGAACAAGCTTTCATCATTCAGCAAATTCGTCAACGTATTCTAATGAAAACTTTTTCTACACACTTATTTTTTATTCGCTAAAATTTTAAAAGTCGCGACATCGAATGATCGCTTGACGATTAAAATTCGCTCTCTGGAAAAACAAAAATCGAAGTTTTTATCGTCAGCGATAAGAAATAGATGAAGTTAAGCAACAACGCAACATTCGTCGCAACTATATGCTAACAAGAAAAAAATCATCATCTAGAAAAAGTTTTTAGTAGCGAATTCACTAGATGCTGTTTTAAATGAATAAAGTTTCGCCCCGTATAAATATGGGAGGAATTATTTTGAAGAATAATATAAGATTATTTGTATATTAAATGGTATTTTTTTCATTATATTTATCAAACTTTATTGTCACACTACGAATATTGTAAAAAATAAAATGTTAATTTTAAATTAAAGACGTATAGTGGATTTTCCGAGACATTAAAAATGTTAAAATTAACATATTAATTTTAAAATTTTTGAATGTCTATACGTTTTTAAAATCAATATTTTATT